TTTTTTTGGAGAGAACATTTTTTAGTAGTGTGCAATAATTGTTTCATCTTTTTAAAATTTTTATACATTTTGCATTTTTGAAAGAATATCAACAATATAACAATACGGCAAAGCGATGAAGGCGAGTTGCGTAGAAAGACAGACGACTCACATCATAGAATTTTCTGTAAGATTTCAATGCCATAACGACACACTATAACAAGCAACAACAAATCATAACGAAGTGTGACTATCGAAAATTGATCAATGATAACAATAACAACAACAATAAATTAATGATGAAGTCAGTAGTAAGCTGACAAAGTGACACAACTATGCAATAGAAATGCATTCACTTTTTAATCATTCAAAATTAACAAATGTCGAGAACCAATTTAACTTGACTCTATATAGCTCATCCTCATCGATTATCATTAATTTCATTGAATGCATGAAGAAATACGCGGTGCAGCACGCATAACATCATTATACATTGGATGACCTAATCTTTAAATGTTCCTTTATAACAGTTCTCGTTTTTGATGGTTTAATTAGGATCCATAGAATAGCTGCATCATTTCAATGAAATTGAACATACCAAAACACAACTTTTTATCAGACGGACTGACATTTAACAAAGCGTTCCATAGCGGAGTGGTGTGCATTCAGATGNCAAAACACAACTTTTTATCAGACGGACTGACATTTAACAAAGCGTTCCATAGCGGAGTGGTGTGCATTCAGATGAAACAGAATGAAATAAAGTGAAGAGGAGATTTCTGTATGGCTAACATACTCAAACAATCAATCAGTGTATCTTGCAAGATTAATTTTTGGTACAATATTCATCGATTGCAATTCCTGGAATAGTAATTTGCAAGCGTACGGTATTTTGATAGTGGCCATTGAGCGTGAACATCTACACTTCTGACACCAACCTTTGTAACCAATCAGACCACATTGTGAGCAAACGTCCACCTGCAATTACAAGTAATAATGTTTATCAATTAAAGATGATTGCAGGGATTTGCAAGCATCACAATCAATATTATAGCCTAAACAGCTGATATGACACTAAACAAATCATCAAAAAATGATTTGATCGCGAATATGAAATAATTACGCTAACAAGGATGGTGTTTTGATCATAGTCATAAAAATAATTATAATATGTGGGCACATAATAAAAAAGACGACGACAATAATGGAATGACAACAAAACTATATCAAAACGATATATTGTACAATCCTGCAGATATTTATGATGACTTACATGAAATTCATCCGAAGAAACCATGAGACGTTCCATGAGTAACATACTCGCACCGTATGCGATTAAACAATCTCTCNTACATGAAATTCATCCGAAGAAACCATGAGACGTTCCATGAGTAACATACTCGCACCGTATGCGATTAAACAATCTCTCTCCATTTCACCTAACCGTAGACCACCATCCCTAGCACGACCCTCTGTGGGTTGTCGAGTTAAAACAGCACTGAAATATCGAGTATTAGTTGACTTCAATTCATTAATCAGCTCAACTTACAATTCATTAATCAGCTCAACTAATATGTGAATGCATAAACCATAAGGAAACGAACGAAAATCGCACTGAAACAAAACAAATGTATCAGTACCGAGGTCCACGTGATCGAGCATGCATTTTATCCAATACCATATGTTTCAGCTTCTGATAGTAAATCGGACCAAAATAAATATACGCAGACAATTGTTGACCGGTAATACCCGAAGTGAGCATATCTTTGCCCAGATAATTAAAACCGTGCGCAGCTAACTCTTCGCAGACATCAGCAACCTTACAAATAGAATGAATGATTCAAAACTTAATATTAATCACATAACACGCAATAATCTGCTATAAAATCATAAGTGTGTGTGATAATAACAATGATATAATTAATAACATCAAATGAAAGGATTATCTTCGTGATACTCACAAATCACAATAAAAATTAAATTTTATTCCTTAATAAAGCAAGCACTCACCTGATCACCACCAAATGCAGTACCGTAATGAAAACGACCCGTCATAATGGCATTTTTACCACTCAACAATTCCATCAGTTTACCAACGGTCATACGACTCGGGTAACCGTGAGGATTCATGATCATATCTGGGCACATCCCGAGATCATTGAATGGCATATCTTCCTTCAATTTTCCACTTTTAATTCACCCATTCATTGAGTCGCACATAAATTTTCAATATTCGAGCGTTATCAATATCTTG